TTCATGTTTCTTTTAATAAATAGCAATCTTTCCAGTGAGCTTGAATTTAAACTGGACCTTAATTATTTGTTTTATCCAAATTAATTTTTTCGAATTATTTGCATTATTCAAATTAATATTATTAATATTAATATTAATGTTAATTCATTTTGTTCGAATTATTCGTTATTATTTGAATTTGCCAGTTTAAAATTTTCACGTGATTAAATTAAACGGACTGGTATTCTCTGAACAAAAAAATCACAATAAATCAACCAAGTCAAATTTTATAAAAACATTTACCAGAAAGGTAATAATTCTTAAAATGTAACAAGTATAATAGATAATAATGCATTTTTGGTCTAAAAAAGATATATAATCTTATTCTTGTAAATTAAATTCATGTTGGTTTCAACACGGAAGAAGATAGCAGAGAAAATCAAGCACAAGTTAAAGGGCTGGCAAGAGAAGGCTATCAGGTGTCATTGAAAGTAGTAAGGTTTTACGATCTTGGAAAGAAAATAAATACATTCATTGACTGTTGAATTTCATGGATGGTTTCAACATCATTTTCCCCAAGAATTAAAAAATTTAAACATTAATGTCCAATGTTTAAATACTTTTTATAACTATTACTAATATTTCTTTTATTACTACAACCATTACATTTCGTAAAAAGAAAACAATCAAAACGCGTTTTTTGATTGTCTTTAAGTGCCTGAGTTTGAAACACGCACATAGACGGTCAGGTCAATATTAGTTTATACAGTGCATCAACTTGATACTTTTTATTTTTTTTCTATTTTTGTTAATTGTGCATAGGCAGAGATATTATTAATAAAATAAAAATGCTCTTTTCGTTTTTTGATTTTGAATTTAACTACGCGTAATAATAAATAAAATAAAAACGCGTTTTAGTGCCCGAGTTTGAAACACATATAGGCTGGTCAATATTGGTACATAGGATAGGTTTAGGGACAGGTTTCTGTAAATTTTAAAAGTAGTGAAATGGAAAAAAAAAATAAAAAAATAACGTTAAAATCCTTTTATTGTCAAATTACAGAATTACCAACATCAAGATGAATCAATCACTAGATGATTTTTTTTGTGAGATTGTTTTTTCAAGATTTATCAATTTAATAATAACGGAAATGATAGTAGTAGCATAGCATTACAATAATTGTGATATTAATAATAATAGTAACAATAATAGCCATAATAATAGAAATGAAAACTAATTTTATTTAATAAAGAAGTGGAATTAAGCTATAGCAATACCATGAGTCATTAGGCCCGAACCGCCATTTCCGTTCAAGGTGGCAGATTATAGTTTGGTAGTAGGAATACCATTATTATGGATAATGATCTGGATTTCTTCATACCAGTCAAGTGAAATAATAAAGTTATTATAGCGCCTTGACCTTGGACAATTTTAAATCTCTGACTTTTGTTCTTGCATTTGATGCTTACTATTTTTTCAGTTTTAATAGTTATAAGCCGTTTTGATTAGTTCATTTGAGAATTATTTAAATGTGACATCTTTGATGAATTTTACAACCCAATTAAGAGTCTAAATGAATTAAAATGTCAATTATACACATTCTATATATTCTTGTAAATTTAATAAACATTTACAAATATTCCATTTCATCAATGGTTTCTTGATTTTCAAATTCAAATACTTCAAGCTCATCAATATCACCGTTTACGATTTCATTAAATTGTATCTAAAGCATAGACATAGATGGAGTTATTAACAAAAGAAAAAATTAAATAAAAACACAAGATCATAGAATAAAACCAATTCTCACCAATCGTTCTTCGTCAATCCAATCACCAATTAATTCACGCCTTTCTAAATGAGACATTGCAAGAAATTCCCGAAGATTTGTGGCAGTTAAAATCATTTGTGCAGTAAAAGGATTAATAAACGGAGTGAAACATGTCAAAAATTTTTCATGCTTTATTTATCCAAAAAAAAAAAAATACGTGCACATGATTATTAAAAAAACATAATTAAAATAATAATATTAATATCATTTTTATTATTTTATTATTATTTATATTATTCACCAAACTTTCTTCTGTTATCATCCAATCCCTTGATTCCCATTGTTGTCTATTTTTCCAACCATTGCCGTCACCACTATTACCAATGCTGTCATAGTTATTACCATCATCATCAATCACTATCAAATTGTTATTATTATTAAAATTTTCACATTTTGTTGCACACACATCACCTATCAATCTTGCTAATCTTGCTGACATTTCTTCAGACGTTGAATATAATATATGAATCGATGGTAACGAACTTAAATTTGCTAATGCTTTTATAGTTGGTAGGGTAAATAAGTATGGTGTAGTTGACAATTCTATCATCATATCATCACTGTTATTATTGTTATTCCGAGTATAGTTTTCAAGTATTAAATAAAAGTTTGAATATTTTTGAGCAAGACGAGTAAGTGTATTAAGAAATTGTGTAAATATTTGTATTTGCGAAATCTTATTTAATGGAAAATAAATCATTGCAGTTCTCTCATCTAATATTAAATCAGCTTCAACGTAATTTAAGTTTTTTTGTTGTTCATAATAATCATCAGATAAAAACGTTTTCAAGTATTCAAAATCTCTTTCGATAAGCTCTACCTTACAATTATCACTTCTTAAAGCTGTCAATAATCTATTATTTTGCAAAAGTCGTGAAGAGATGATGTATTTATGAACTGTTGTTGGAGCTGGTAAATTTCTAATGGTCGATTTATAGGTTGGATCTAAAAAAAAAACAAAAAAATATTTTTAAAATATTTTTCTTTTTGAAAAAAATAAAATAATTATTTACCAATTGATGTTGAAGTTGGTTCGTTTTTATTTTTGGAAATATCTAAAACTTTAAGTTTTAAATGCTTTTTGTTGCGGTGATGTTGTATACTCAGCAATGGTGGCGGTGATGGTGATGATGATGATGATAATGATGATGATTTATCAGGTGAAGTTTTACCACGTAAAATTAGAAAATCATCGATTGATCTTGTAGCAGAAAATTTCTCGGAAAAATATTTAAATGTTTTGCCATTATTATTTTTGTCAGTGGTGTCGTTGATTTTATTGCCATTAAGGCTATGTTGCAATTTGGCCATGAAATTATCACCATTGTCATCATTGTTATTGTAATTAATTTGTTGTACTTGGGAAAAATATGGTGATTTAATACCCGTGACAGTTTTTTTTGATGGAGATGATGGTGGTGTTAATGTTGACAAATAAGTTATCTCTTCCTCTTCTATACTCTTTAATTCATCATTATTTTTGTTGTCATTACAGCTAATGCCTTTTTTTTTAGATAAAAGTGAAATAATATCAGCAGAGATTACTGTAGAAGAAGCTGCTTTGACTTTTTTATTGACTTTCTTATTGTCATCAACATCATTTTTTTTATTGTTGTTGTCATTAATATTAAAGATAGTTGTTGCTAAATTTAAATTCAAGGAATTATTTTTTGTTATAAGGGCAGAAGTTGATTTCACACAATTAGACGATGTTATTGGTGGAGATGATGATAATGGCGATATCCATACAGGAACATGTACATTTTTAAAACCGCAAAGCTCATTATTGTCATTACCATTGTTATTATCAGCATTCTTTATTATTTCCAATTTTTTAATCACATTTTTCTCCTCTTTTCTTGATTTCAAACAAGAAGGTTCTTTCGTTGATTCAATTAATGATAATGATGGATCAATAATAACATCTAATAATAAATCAATTGAATCACCAATAGAAGATTTATTATTACAACTGCACATATTTTTCAATAATTCTCTGATATTTTCTTCCAGATTATAATTTGAATCAATAATTTCTTTCATGTCAGTTATTACAAGTTTTTTAATAGGATTCCAATGTAACTCGAATTCCAAGGTTTTAATTCCAAAAAATGGTTGTAGTATTTGAAATTTTGAATTTAATGATAACATTGCACTATTATTGTTGTTGTAGTTATTATTAACATTATCATTATTGTATTTAGTAATTATAAGATCAATGATAGATGTTGGAAGTGTAATTTTACTATTGATCCTTGTCTTCAGACAAGTGGTTGGATGTGGTAATTCCGTAACTAATTTTAGAACAATAATATTGCAATTTTACAACAATGTCATTATGAATATTAACAAGTTATTTATTCAATTACCTTTGAATTTCAGTCCACAAATTTCATCCATTGATTGTTCCATAATATTTTGCCAATGATTAACATTATTAATGTTATTGTAATTATAATTTTTGGTTGTTGATATGACTTCAAAGATTGTTTCAAAATCTTTTTCAAGTTCTTTATCACCATCATCCTTTTCATTGATATTAGAATCAATTCGTTGATATTCCGATTGTTCGCTCATTGCAAGTAACATTGTCTTTGTCGACTCGTCAACAATTGTTTTTATGGTGTTTATCACCGAACCAGATCTTTAAATTATTATATTTACAAAGTTAGAAGAAAGCGTATATATGTGATGAAAGATGAAATTGGAAAAATAAAGATGATTAATTTACTGAATTAAATCTATGGTATCTTGTTGCTCGATATTACTAAAATCTATTATTGTTTTACTGCTGCTTTTTTTACGATCCGTCATTTCTAAAGGATCATCTTTCACAGGAATCAAGACAGGTTCTATATAAAATCAATAATATTAATAAATTCGATTTTTCCCCTCATATGATTTTTGAGTGCTTTGTATTTATTTACCCAATTTGAAAAGATAGGATTGTCCTCCTTCTTTTGAATATCCATCAACGACATCAACAATATCATTGTTGTTTTTAACAATATAATCTTTTACTCCTTCTATTAAATATTAATTTTAAAAATAATACAATGATCAATTAATTACAACAGTAATAATTATAATTACCCCATTGATTAATTATTTCGATTGGAGCTTTGACACCAGTTTCTTCTGGGACCAATTGATCTTTTTCAGTAGTCATTGTCACATCATTAAATTCTTCAAGTATGGTTGGCAACACTAATTTAGTAAAATCATTATTACTGTTGTTATTGTTAAAAATTTCTTTGTTATTCATATTATCTTGCAAAATTGGTTCTTCCAAATAAAAATCTTGATTATAATTATCATTTATTTTTGTCGTTGATGAAAGAATAGCAGTGGTGATATCATCAAAGTAGCAATCAGTTGTTTGCTCGTTAATAAGTAACTGAATATCTTTTGCTTCACTCTTCTTAATTTCATCACTTATTTTTAATAATAATAATAATAATAATAATAATAATAATAATAATAATAATAATAATTAATGTTAATAACAATTATGACATTATATTTATAATTATAATTATATGTACCATAAATCATTAATTTTCAATATTTGATGGTTGAAAAAAATTGGATTATCATCGGTAATTGTCAAAATTGGAAAATAACACGATAAAGATTTTGGTGTTGGAATAGGATATAATTTATCATCATTAGCAGTGCTTGTGAATTGACAATTTTTAGAAAATATAGGTTCTTCTATATATTCAAGCAGATCAGATGATTTGGTGTTATTTTCTAAAAAAGCAAATAAAGAATATCGATGATTTTTATTTTATTTAGAAAAAAAAAATCAATCGATTTAGAATAACTATATTAATATATAATTTTATTTACGAAAAATTTCTTTGCAAGAAATTTTAAAAATGTTTATTGATAATAAATCTTTAATCTCTTCTTCGTTAATATCATTTATAATTAATTTTTCTTTATTTATTAATTGAAATTTATTTTGATCTTTATTATTACTATCATTAGGATCGGGATTTTTATCACAATTGTTATTAAAATCAATGTCATCTTCTTCACCAATTGAAAAAAAATCCAACCTAACATCAGAAATTAATTCTTGTTCATATTCTATATATATATTCTTATTATTAGTATCATCGTTATTAGTTATTATTATTTTGTAATTAATAAATCAACGAAATACTACCATAATTTTGTAAATTTAATAACTTAGTACAAGCAATTAATTCATCATGTAATTGATTGTCTAAAATTTTATTTTTATCCATTTTTTTTTTGAAAGAAAAGTCTGAATTGAAAAATCCCATGTATTTATGTTTTTCTCGATTATCTTCATGTGATTGATTTACCTGTTGTGCTACAAAAAATTCACGGGTCACGAAATTAAAATTTTTCTCAGTTCGTTAGTCTTTTGAAACCAAAATGAATACCAATAAAAAGTTTCAAACTGCTCCAATATTTAGCTGGCCAAATTCTAATGAAATAAGTGCTGATTTTGGTGCTTTAGGTGGTTTTTGTCTTTCAAAAAATAATATTGATGGGGAATTTATGAACAGCGGATCAACAAGTAGTTATTTTGGTTTTTTTTTACAATTTTATTTTAAGAATCCTTCTTTTACTCATATATTTTGCATTTTTTTGAAAATAAAGATAATCAACCTACTGGAGTAGTTCCCATAACACCTATCAAACAATATTTTCCACATACACGTCGTTATGATCAAAACCTGAACATTCATCGTAACATAGCTCTTTCCAAATCATATTTTACTCAAAATGTAAATCAATGTTTTATTTTCATTCTTACATTTTTAAAAATAAAAATATTAAATAGTAATTCATTAATAATTGTTTTTTTTCAAAACAAAAGGCTGAACACATGCATAATGTAATTCCAGAATTTGATATTCCTCTAGATTTTCTTGCTGAAACTTTTATAAATGAATCTATTACTGAAGAAGAATATCATTACACCAATGATTCTTGCATGGGAAGTCAACTTATTTCAATTTGTGATTATCGTATAGTAGATGGCCAACCACTCCAACTTATGATTTTTCCAATGGGCATTGCAGGATCTGAGTTATGTGGGTTGGAGAAAAAATTTTATTAATGTTATCGAACTTTTCTTATAAAGAGTTTACTTACAATGATATTTATATGCATATTTAAGGCATGGTCCCATTAAAAAAAGAGAATAACTTTCATGATTCAGAATTTAAGATCAGTCAACTTAAACTAGACCTATCAAACAGTTCAAGATTAAATTTAAAAACACCTATTAGACAAGTCACAACTTCCATATCTGAAAAATGGCTTGTTAATAAATTACCTGGTTAGTCATATGCAGTAATAATAATAATAATTTATTCTTGGGAGTTTTATCATTTATTTTAATACAATCTTTTTATATTATTAAGGCTTAATGGCTGTACGAACAATGACTGGAACAATTTTTTTCGAATTTACAAAACAATCTAATTATGAGCCAATTGCTATGGATGTCCTAGTGAATAACACAAATAAATTTTATGAACACATGCATGTCACCTTCAATCCAGTATTATATGGTGAGGCAGCTATAATAGATAAGTATGATGGTGTTTATATTTGGAGAGCAGAAAGATCCATATCTACTCGGTAAATTTTTAAATTTAATTTAATTAAATTTTCTTTTAATAAGATTTATTATGATTCTAATCCGAGTTGATAATTTTCAGAGAATTTGAAAAGTCCGGTACAGATTCAATACACCTTCCATCACCACAAACAAACAAACCACTAAGCGAATTGTGGAAGGCTTGTGAGTATGGTGCTCATCCTCAATCATTGCTTGCTGCTTCTAGAACTAGTATTAATTTTTATGATTTTAGGGTAATTAATTTATTGTTTATGTTTGGAATTAATAAAAATTTTTTTAATGTTTACCATGTAATATTTTTTTAATAGGAAAAAGTGGAATCACCAAATGTTAATTTATATAATGTTAAGGTTGGAGAAAACATATATGCATTTCAAAGGTTTCCCATGATGAATTCATTTCAGACCATATTCTCAACTGACAATGATATCAATATATTAGATCAAAGATTTCCAAAAAGACCATTAATAAGATGTGCGCATCACTTTAATAGCCCTCTATCTGGATTTAACATTATAGTCAAGAAAAATGGTAATGGTATTTTATTTATTTATCTTTTTTAATATCTTTTTAATTTATTATAACATGATTTAATTCTAATTTAATTAAATTTTACTTAGAATCATATGTTTTGGCTTGGTCAAGAACTTTTGCATCTTTAAAAACATTTCAATTTTCATCTAATGACAATGGACTGATAACTATAAAAAACAAACCTTGTTCAATTCCATCATTTCATACACATCCAGACTTTTCACAATCAAAATACTTGAGAACTCCAGACTTGACACAATTATCTCATTCTTATTATGAACCATTAAAGACACCTAAACTACCATATTTATCCAGTGCTTTATTGCTCCAAAATGATGTTCAATATTTACCAAGTGGAGTGATTGATGATAAAATATTGATAGACTCATCTATCGATAACAGTAATTGTTTCAGTGTAATTCAACTCTCACAAACTGGTGCTTTATACAAACAAACATTTTATCATGCAGATCAAACAAATGCACCAATGCCCAAGTACAAACATCTAGAACTGTTTGATATGCAATTTGTTGATATGCCAAAGTCTGTAGTGACTTTTCAACATATGGCTGACAAGGATTTAGGCACTGTCCCAGAACTTCGATTGAAACACTATCAATCCAAGTCTTTTGAGAAGTTATGGAACTGTAAGAATATTTCTTATTTATTTTTTTAAGATGAAAAATTAACCTTAATCTATTTATTTATTAAATAGCTATTTTTAAACCAATGCATAGATATTTCCAAAGATTTTAAATCATCAGGAAGTAACTATAGTCTTAAAACCCTTAATTTAAACTATGATACAAGTTTTTCTAAATGGGAGGATGTGGAAAAATTTTTTAAAGAGTATGGCAACAAATTAGGTTTTAATTGTCATAGAAGGTTAATATTGACAGATACAAATGGAAATGTTACATTGGCAAAGTTTAAATGTACTGAAGTTGATTATGATCCAAAAATTACAAAGTTTTCAAGGTTTTCTCCATGTGGATGGTCAGCTACACTTTCTCATTCAAGAACTCATAATAGTATTATTGTTGCAAATCTTAATAAACAGCATAATCATGACTTGTTTTCACCTTTATACTACTCTGAAAGATGGGAGTCAGGGGCAGCAGATTATTTATCAAATAACTCTAATTGGTTTCTTACTAGTCTAGCTTCATTAGATCATAGAACAGAATATAAAGCAAGGGACATCATAAATACATTGATCAATAATAAAATTAATCTGGTACATGATAGAATTAATAAATCCTTACATCCATCAACAATGTAGGCTTCTTTTTCTTTTTATCTTGATTTTTTTTTTTTTTTTTTTGATAATTCTAATTTTTTGTCAATATTTGGGCAGATATGAGATATTAAAAAATATACGAAGCTCTTATGATGTTTCTACCCGCAGTAATTCTGAAATCATTCGGAATCAACATTTTTCAGAAAATTATCGATTAATAGATGATGAAAGTGAAGAAATAATAATGATTGACTGGACTTCTGCTAATATGGATGAAATGTTAACTATGCCACAAGGAATATCATTATCAGACACAATTATTTCACTGTATGGTTTTCCTTTTAACAAAATAAATAAACATCATAACAATAGCATTAATGATACTTTAACAGAACTCAAAAATATTTTGAAGGAAGCATATCCTCTTCCAATAATGAATGAAAATAATTTCAATGACTGCTTTAAACAAGGTAAAATTGTAGATACAGATCTTGATTTAGAAAGTCAGAGTTTTCGAAATCATGCAATTGATGAAGTTGCAAGAGATATGACTTATAGTTCAATTATGTACACAAGCAATTTACAAAATTCATCTAGATTTCTATATTCAAGTGTTGTTGGTGATTCTAAAGTGGGTTCAACAGATGTAGATAGAAGTTCATTTCCATTAATATTTACCAACAATAAAGTACTCGATGAAGAAAAAAAGATTATATTTAATCCAATAGCTGAAGCTATATTCGATAGTTGGGTTATAGGTGAAGATTACACCAAATTTCAATATGAATATCCCTAGACAATATATTATATTAATTAATAAAATTTTAATTCATGTTAACTTGTGGATGGAAAGTTTGTCTGTGTTCAGTTGATTACAAAAAATTTTGCCAATCTGAGAAATACAAATAAGGAAAAAAATTGTTACATATTTCATAAAAAACATCAACCATTCTTATATGTGTGTGTGTGTGTGTATATAGCTTTTAAAAAATTAATGTTCCACATTTTTTATTTAACTTTATTAAAAAAACTTCATTATTAAAGCTTTTAAATAAATATTCTCTTGTAATTGAGTGAAACCCAATTTTTGAACAAACTGTGACCACAATGAAAATTAAGGAAACTGGAGGTGGATATAATCCAATATGTTGGAGTAAGGAAGATGAATATGTTTCCAGATGGGGAATATAAGATTGAAACAAATAAAAAATTTTATCTTCAGATGAAAAACAAATCAATAACTCAAGATTAAGTAGAGTCAAAAAACCTGAACGGGCAATTTCTCATCAACAAACTAAATATTGATGGATTTTTTGATGTGAACCTTATTGCTATTATGGTGGTGAAATGATTTTTTATATATTAAGTTCTTGGAAAAGCATGCACCACTTATAGATTTTGATTAGTCTAGGTTTCTGATAATGGTATCTATATTCCATGAATTATAAAAATATTATGGAGTGGGGTGAAATTCTGATTGGCTAATTTGAATTTCACACATGTAAATTTGAATTCACATAATTTCATTTTCACGTAATGTAGAATGTTGAGTTCCGTGCACTGAAATGGCCCGAGAAGGTATTTCTCTACGAAAAAATGGGGTGTGGACAATAGAAACGGACCATGTTGTGAAAAAAGCAATTTTGAGTTAGTATCACTATTATATGTAATTC